TCAATATCTCAGGAGCTGCCACAAAGAAGAGGGAGTCAAGCTATTTTCCAAAGCGCCTGAAGGCAGGACAAGAAGCAAGGGATGGAAACTAATCAAAGAGAGAAGCAACCTAGAACTAAGGAGAAACTTCCTGACAGTTAGAACAATTAACCAGTAGAACAACCTGCCTCCAGAAGCAATGAATGCTCCAACACTGGAAGTTTTTAAGAAGAGACTGGACAGCCATTTGTCCGAAATAGTATAGGGTTTCCTGCCTGAGCAGGGGATAGGACTAGATGACCTCCAAGGTCCCTTCCAACTACTACTACTACTACTACTACTTATTATTATTATTATTATTATTATTATTATTATTATTATTATTATTATTATTATTATTATTATTATTATTATTATTATTATTATTATTATTATTATTATTTGCCTCATGAGGTGTACTCAAGATCTTAATGTCATTCCAATTAGATAGTTGAAATTCAGTCTTCCTAACTTGGCATTTTCTGGGGTTATTAAGAATAAAAGCTTCATCATCTCTATCTAGCATGGCAAGATAAAGAATGGAGCCAGGGTACATGACTCTTACGGAGGTATTTTCTATCCTAGTACCTTTGTGATTAAATTCTAAAACAAGGGTGTCAATGTTTAAAAGTTGTGGTCTGCAATTCAACCTTTACCAGCTGGAAATGTAGCATTGTCACAGGAGACAGTGTAGCCAATATTTGGGGAGCCTTAAAAAATCTAGGATGATTTAGAGGTAGAGAAATGCTTCAAAAAGCTTTCCTTAAAAAAATCCTCCAGTCTCAATTATGTTAGTGAAATGCAGTCATTTTCCTTTTAAATTGCAGCTGCAATCAGTTCCAGGTGTTAGTTGTCCAAATGTGAGCCATGTTGCCCATTTTAAAGTCCTATATTCTTGTTGACTTGCAACACCAAAGTTTTAAATTGTAATATGGACATGAATTAGCAAAGCACCCTATCATATCCATATACTTGGTTGTATTAGAGATTTCTGTTTCATTAGTAGAAAGATTTGAAAGGACATGATATATTTGTTTAGAAAGCATTCACCAATTTAAGGTAGAGAAATTTATAAGTATGCCAACTGAAGCATTTAAATCTCTTTCAGGCATTGCACACAGTTAGTGTGCTCTGTGTAGACTTTGTGGATAGAGCTTGCATGCACCCTAGTTCAGCTGCCAACTATAAGAAACTTTTCAGGGTTGAATACTTCTTCCATCTCACAACTATTTTCCCTCAAAAGCACAATATATATATAATTTTACAGATGCATAAATTGATTAAAAACAAATCATCCTAAAGCATGAATTTATACAGATCAAATGTAGTGGAATATTGCCTGTTCTTGATATAAATACTGTTAGGGAAAAGAAATGTATGAACTTTGCTAAATAAAATGTTGCCTATTGAGTATCTTAAATAATTTCAGTTTTCATACATCCAATTTTTTTTGCAATGCTGTCTCTTCTGATTTACTTATTTTTGAAGATGATGATTAGAATTGGGTAACAAGGATGATGGTCTACAAAATAAAACATTAGATTACTCATATTATGTAGATTTGGTCGTGCCATTAAACAACCTCAGTACATTATCCATAAATTACCTAGTGCCTTTTTTCTATTTGTGATTTTTAAATTATACACACAGGTTGTTTATGTACTATTCTACTCAATTTGATGTGGGCAAAATTATATGCTTTGTAAAAGACAGCAGAACCAAATGGATAATGTTAGATTACTATACAAGATTTATGTAATATTTTGATCTTGTTTAAATAATATTTTGCTATTATTCTGTAATATTTTTGATAGCTTCCACTTTTTAAATATTAACAAAAATATGAAGTATTTTTAATCAAAAAGCTTTTTAGTAGCAGTAAAATAAGAACATATATCCCTAGTTATCTGCACTTGTAACATTCATATCCATTATTCTAATTGTATACTGTATAAAAGTATACTTTGCCAATATTTATTTAATAGCCTTTGTTGCATTTGATACATTGTCTAGTTACCATTTTTGTAAAAAATTATCTCTTGTTTTTCCCCCTTTTATGCTTCACCTTTATTGCAATAGTCATTATAATATGTATTTATACTTATGCACACTCACATTATAAAGTTGTTTAATTATAAAGAACCAATTCATGAAATGTTTCTTTTTATATAATTGCCTCCTCTGCCCTTCAGCTAGATTGTTTGACACATTTTTTCTCTCCTGCTCCCTTGCAGGGAAATTGTATCAACCTCACAGAAGCCTTGTCTCTCTATGAAGAACAGCTTGGCAGATTATATTGTCCTGTGGAATTCTCAAAAGAAGTTGTATGTGTTCCCTCATACATGGAGCTGTATCCTTCAGTAAGAAACCATGTTTGTTAACATTCCTATTTCAGTTGGTGCTAAGTCATAGCTGACACATTAAGCCTAAAAGTATATTATAGTTTAACACAGTGTACTGTCTTAATATAAGAAATTCTTGGGCAAGAACTCATAATCCTGCAAGTATACAAATATTTGTACACACTAACATTCTGTTAGAACTTTTTAATGTAAGCTGAGTTTTCTTGAGGCTTCAGTAATCATAATTTTAGTGTCTTAATGAATCATCAAAGAATTTCTGCATTTGTTAAAAAAACCATTTGTTAAAAAAAATTATATCTGAGATGTAAAAGATGAAGCATGCTAAAATGAATTTCTTGTTTTATTTTGAAAGTAATGAAGATTTATTTTGACATATTTTCTTATACATGTTGGGAAACTAAGCTTATGAGAAAACACAAAATATTGGATTCCTTGACTATTTTTTAGATGGGTATTTTATACTATTTGGAAGAAGACTGATATTTGAAGGTGAAAACCTGCGCTACACATGCTGCATGAAATCTGTAGGCTTGCCACATGCTTTGTCTTGGCATCTTGACTCTTTAAATTATATGCTGTAGATGATTTTGAAAATTAGTCACACTATCAATTGATAATTCTTTAATTGTTTTTTATTATTTTAATTTAAAAGCAAATGCAAAATGTATATTTTGATGAACTAGTGTGTTATTTTTGAAAGTCAACTTAGATGAATAAGCAACAAAATTATAGCTGCTGAATGCACTGAACCTTTAGAATGTGATCATTTTATTATGTTTATTTTAGAACTTTGAACACCAGTTTTAAAAGTCAATATTAGCATTTAGTGTGATTCTGTAGATGTTTTTTCTTCAACATTCATCAGTTTAATAGTCATGGTGTGACTTATGCATTGTCAAATGATCACTGTGCTTCCCTGAAAGAAATTAAGAGAAATGTTATTTTTTTAATAATACCTTCTAACTCACTGGGACGTTTTACAATATGTAAAAAAGTTCAGCATGAAAAAGTGACACAAAAGCACCATCATAATTTACTATCATGATAGTGTTAAAATCTATGATTTCGCTGCATAAGAATTACCATGAAAATACTTGACCCTAGTTATGAACTAGTTTCTTTTTTCATCACCTGTTTTTCAATATAGAAAGATATAAATTGTTATCTTCCCATCTACAAAGAGATTTACAAGTTACTTAATAATGGTTTAATGATGTACCATTATTAGTAACCATTATTGTATGCCACCCAGAGTCGCTTGTTGTGAGATGGGTGGCCATATAAATGTGATTGATTGAATAAATAAGTGAATATAGCGTTACTGAATTAACTAGTATGTAGTGAAATGTCAATCAAAATCAGTCTGTGTATTTATTGTAAGTAGGGTAGAATAGTAGATCAAACAACTGTTAAAAGCTATGGAGTGGACTATTTTTCCAAATTAAATATAAAAAGTTGAAATATATGTAAGAGTTCTTAGTGATTACATGCCCTTTTAGCTTTGATATTAATATTCCTAGAGTGAGAAATGTACATTAAAAATAAACAATATGCTTGAAACTCACCCTTTACCAGTTTTATCTATGGTAAATGGGAGATTAGTTTGTAGGCATGTCTCATTTCATTCAGTTTGTAGGCATGTCTCATTTCATTCAGTGTGATCTGGACCTAAGACATTTCTGGTGTACCATGTCGAACTGAGACATTTATGAATCCTATATTTATATTTTGTGCCAGTTGAGCCCAGCCATATGGATGGGATAAATCTTACTGACCTTAAGCCATCAATTAGCACATATGCTATTTGAATATGCATGTGGAAACCTATTAGATTATTGGATCAATGTCTCCCCGTATGCTTCTGCACATGGTGTGAAATTATATTTTTGTAAACTCTTTGTGTGTTCTGATTTTTTGTTTGCTCATTGTGTTGCTATAAGCAGATCCTTAAAATAGTTGAAAAATAGTTTCTTATTGTAATGTTGATGCAATAAGAGAGCAAGAGTGAATTCAAATGTACCATTCTTTTTTTCAGTCTTAAAAATAATTCAATAAAATTATTTTCTTGTTAATTAAAGAAGACTGTTTATAGACTACTTCCCAAAATACAGTGTGAAGACACTCTTCCCTCCATTTTTGTGAAAGACCAACACGCTACATGGAGAAATTCAGAGATAATTTCCTGAGGTAGTTAAGAGAAGATAGTCTATTATAATCCATGATAATCCTGATAGGTATTAAATTTTATTAACACTGGAATTTTCTATCTTGAATTTCTCATATACCAACAAACTAGACAATATAAAGAAAGCTGTATTACAATTTCTGAATTATGTGTTGAATAAAGCCACTTAATAAACTATGATAAAGAGCAAACTTTCAATTAATCATTTTGATGAATGAAAAGCTATCTTTTATGTAAAATTACCTAGAGTTTTGTAGGCAAACATGAATGGAAAGCATGAGTCAACATTTAATGCCGTGTTTCCCCGAATATAAGCACCTCCCCAAATTAAGACCTACCCTAACTTTTTGGGAGGGCTAATATAAGCCTTACCCCCAAAATAAGCCCTAGTTAGGACCCTGCCCACTCTGTCACACCTCGTTGCCGCAATGGGGCAGGGGGCTGCACATCACATTGCGTCGCTGCTGCCACAATGAGGGGAGGCAGGTGGAGGGGTGGAGCGACCTTTCACTCCCTCCTGAGCTGGACTGCCATGGGGGAGTGATGGCGAATGGCTCCGCTGCTGCTGTGCACCGCTGGAGGGGCTTTCTTTAAGCTTTGCCCCGCAGATCACATGCCCAGGCGCAGCCGCTGCCTCTTTGTCCTCCGCCAACTCTCCCAGCTACCTGCTTCTGCCAGCCCTTTGTCGCCTGTCTCACGGAGAAGGCAGCAGCTCTGCGCAGGGATGCAGAGCAGAGAACACTTGCTTGCTGCCTGCATTGCCCCGCGTCTCCCTTCTCCCTTCTGGAAATGGCAACCCTGTTTCCTACCGCTTCTCCTCTCGGCGCAGCTCCTCCCTCTTCCCGAAAGCATTTCTTTGCTAACCTGCTTTCCAGCTCTGGTGTGTTTCTCTTCTCCTGCAGGGAAACGGAGTTTGTGGGACTAAAAAAAGTTCAGTCAGACCTTCCAACTTCTTGTGGGAAAAAAAAAAGATTCTGCTCGGGAGGGGAGTGAAAGTTGCAGATCAAGGAATGGCCTGGCAGGGGGGCAGCTCCACCCCTCCCCCACCTGCCTCACCTCGTGGCACTGGTGCAATGTGCTGCGTGGCCTCATGCCACGAGTGGCCGCAGCAGAAGTGGGTCGGCAGCTATGTGGGCTGCTGGATGGGGCTGTTGGTGACGCCGAAGTGAGGGAGGTGTCACAAAAAATATAAGACACCCCCAAAATTAAGGCCTAATGCCTCTTTTGGAGGCAAAAATAATATAAGACAGGGTTTTACTTTTGGGGAAACACGGTAGTTTTAAAACACAGGTTTATACAAAATCATTTTTCTGAAGATCAGGTGGCATTCTTTATTTCTTTTTTTAAATTGGTGATAAAATATTGCAGCTGAGAGATCTATAGAGAGCAAGCAGAACATTTTAAATATCTAGGTTTGCATTGAATTGTACGATACATGTATTTATATTTAATTATAGTATTTTTTGAAATACCTTCATGTCTTAATTTGAATTTTTTTTGTTAAAGGTATTTGCCACCTATCTTGCCAGGGGACTACTCTAGGCAGAAGTCATACAAGACTTATAATGAACCTAGAGCTACCTTTATAAAATACATGGAACTAGTTTCTTCCACTTTCCTAAAAAAAGAGGAAACAATTTTGATTCATTGATACCTAGGTTGTGGAATATTTCCAGCAGTTTCACTCGCACATAAGATAATGTTTCAGGATTTTATTTCAAAACTGAAATCAACATGGGTTCTCATTTTAAAGTATTCCCTTCTTGCCCTAATTTTTATTCTTGTTATATTGGATTAGAATGTAATGGTTATGTTGGGAGAAATAATATATTGTTAGTTCAAAGAATGTTTTGTGAAAGTCTTATCTAGTCTGGAGGCCTCCCATAATACATAACTGTTTACCAAATTATCTTTTCTGTTGGTTGAATAGATTGAGGATAAATTGAAATGTTAAAACCTTGTTTTAAATAAACCATCTCTGTAGTTGCATTGCACTTGTTTTCCCTTTTGTGAGGATAAGATTTTGAGAAGTTACCTTTGACAGATGAATGCTTTTCAAAATTTTACTTACACATTTAACTGGCATATCATTGAGATGGCCTCTTCATATAGGCACACCAGAATCAAACATGGCTGCCCTGACTTCTCAATTCTTAGTAATGCTGCTTCCATCATTGTAGTTGAATTTAATTTTGTTAAGGGAAATAAAGTTTGATAACTAATATGACCTTTCTTAAAGAAACTGCTGGCATTTGATCAATTACACTACACTAGTTCAAATAGATATGCCACAATTACTGCACTGCCTAGAATTGTTATATTCACTTTGGCCTCTAGAATGCAATAGCTAAAATAAACATTTCACTTTTTAAAATAAATTATTCTAGTATTTGTCAGTTTTATTGAATCTCTGTATTTAAGTATGTTAAAGTTTTCAGAATGTATTTTGATTAAGAATATTTATTATGACCTCAAAGAATGTAAGTTGGTAACCATTATGCAGAATATCATTATGTCTATATCTGGCATCTTCTGTTTCCAGTCTTTAATAGGAATTACATTGTTCACATGCTCTAGAAGAGGGCTTTTCAACCCGTGGTATGCATGCCACTGTTGGTACTTTGGCACCTGGCAGGTGGTACGTGTATCACAGGTTGAAAAGCACTGTAAAAAAAATGTAAAAGTGGATGAGCTGAAGTGGCAGTGCCAAAGAGGCCTGGGGGAGAGTCAGCTGGAGCTGCACTGTTGCTAGGGCTCTGTTGAGAACCCAGGATCCGCACGTGCAGATACAGCTGATCAGCACTTCCGGCAGCGGGGGTGAGGGTGGCTAGCAGCCACACGCAGGCATCGGGCAGAGATTCAGCCGGAGCAGTGCTGTTGCCAGGGCTCTACTGAGAGCCCAGGATCGGGGGGCGCACTTGCAGCTGATCAGCGCTTCCAGTGCACCTGGAAGAGAGGAGGGAGAGAGGAGAGGATATAAAAGGAGGAGGAGGGGGGGAGTGAAGAGAGGATATAAAAGGAGGAGGGTGAGAGGAGAGGATATAAAAGGAGGAGTAAAACTGGTACTTTTTTTTTTTTTTACAGTTTGTAACATTTTATTAGATTATAGAATAAAATACAAAAATATAAAGCAAATAGTAGGACACAGTGTGGAGGAAAAAGGGAAAGAAAAGTGAGGGGGAGAAGGGAAAAAGAAAAGAAAAGGCATTGACTTTCAACTTCCTCGTTGCAGTAGAATGAAGCATTAACATCAAACCTCAACATTTTACTTTTCCATAATAGTATAAACTAGCCATTTCTATAACAACAAATCAATCTAATTAGTACAACCCAAAATTCCCTCCCCCCCTTTTTTTAGTCATCAAGTTTTTGACACCTTGCTAAGCACTGGTGGTCTTTGAATATTGCCATGTCCTAAAAGTGGTACAATCTATGAAAAGGCTGAAAAGCCCTGGCCTATAGCAGTGGTGGCGAACCTATGGCACGGGTGCCAGAGGCGGCACTCAGAGCCCTCTCTGTGGGCATGCGTGCCGTCACCCCAGTCCTAGGCCTTCAGTTGGGTTTTATCAAATCTTTTTGCTTTAGGCCTCCGCCGCCATGTGCAAAAAAAAGAAGGTTCAATCAATCAGTCAATTTCAACTTCTCGCGGGAAAAAAAAAGATCTTGCAAAGTTGGAATTGATTAATTGAACTTTTGAGTCCCACCCAGTCTGCCGTTACCATCGCAGCCACACCTACCCAATGGGCCACACCCAGCCAATGGGCCACACCCACCCGGCACCCAATGATGCATAAGTGGGTTTTGGGTTGCAGTTTGGGCACTCGGTCTCTAAAAGGTTCGCCATCACTGGCCTATATTATACACCTATTGCAATGTCATTTCCCCCCCTTTTATATTGATCCAAATACATTCAAGACAGTTTTCATCATTGTTGTGCTCTATTTCTGTAGAAATATAGTTATTTCTTGCATATAGTGCAACTTCACCTCTTTTATTTGGTCTCTTTCTTTTAAATAATTTAAATCCCTATAGCTGTATATTCCATTTGTTGGTTTCATCCCACCAAGTTTCCATAATGGCAACAATATCATATCTACCCTTGTTTACTTGAATTTCTAATTCATCCTGTTTATTACTCATATTCTGTGCATTGGTTTATAGACATTTGAGTCCATTTTGACTGACCCTGTGTTTACTTTCTACATAGCCTGTTTTGTGCCTGAGTTCCCCTATTACCTTACCACCTGAATTGTCTTAGTTGACAAAATTGAAATACAATTTCTATACAATACACTGACTAAAGTGAAGGATTTATGTATGGCTTACTCTTGTAAATTAATTTCCTATTTCTAATTCAGTTAAGAGCCATTCTGATCTGATCTACTGTCATCCAAATAATTTAATAAATAAATCTCTCTAGCCTCTAATTCGCTTTTCTAACAACTTTTATTGATTTTTTGGTGTCACTAAATATAAGAATGCATAAATTACAGTAGATCCAGATGAACCTTGTGGGCTTATTTTAGATAAGATCCCATATTATATAATTATGCAGAAAGGTAGCAGGCATACAGTACAGTATTTCTTTACCATAAGGAAGCATGTTGGGATTGCCACAAACATTATTAGAAAAATATTGCTTAGAGAGCAACCTGGCACCTTCCAAATATGTTGTAACTAAAATTCCCATGCAGCAGAATGAAAGTTCTAGAAAACATGGAGTACAGTACAAACTTAAAACACATGTAGAATATTACTGTAGTTCCTACTGATTAACCCCCAGCAGGGTGTACTATTTCCCTATGCTTGGCCTGTTAATGAGGCAGAAGGAAGTGATAAGCTTTAAAAAACTGCATACATTTTCAAATGTTCTCCTACATAAAACATATGCAGTTCCCCACAAACAGAAGCAGAACACAAACAGAACACTAGCTCATTGCAAAAAAATTGCTATCACTGTGAACTTCCTATTTCCGAGTTTAGCCTTTGGGCTTAGTTTTATATTTATACTAGACAATCCATGACCAGCTAGATCATTGTTTCAGACATATCTCCTTACCAGATTCCTCAATGCCTTCAACAATGACAGAGCTTCCAATATACTGCCTTCACCACAAACGTTTTTAAAATTTCAAGGAGATATTCAGATATGTATCTACCTAGAAAGTAGCCCTTGTTGAACTGTATGGCA